AATACTACACATGACATTCTTACAACAAGCCAAAACATCCTTCCACTTAATATTAGAAAGGTGGATGGAATTGACTTGTAATATTAAAAAGGAGTTCTAGTGTGGTGCTGTAGGATAAATTCTGGATCTCGAGGTTGACTTGAACCACAAGGTGGTTCAAATACCCAGCCACCCCTTGGAAACCTTATACAGAGTTACTATGTGTCAAACTTACATGACAGCACTTAACAATAACACAATTAGAAATGTCTATATGATTGATCATTTAAGAGGATATTTTCTGTTTCTACAATAAGGTGCTCTGGTAGCGTAGTGGCTACGAATTGGGCTGCGAACCTCAAGGTCAGCAGTTTGAAACTACCAGCTGTTCCGTGGGAGAAAGATGAGACGTTCTGCTCCCGTAAAGATTAACAGCCTTGGAAATCCTGTGCAGGGTCGCTATGAGTCGGAATCGACTCCACGGCACATGACAACAACAACAACAATGGAAATATTTACTTTAAAGGTTATCTTTACAATACTCTTATTTACAGCCCGAAGCATTCGCAACATTGAGGCCAAAGTCATAAGAATAATTATTAAACCTAGATTACATTTTTTTTTTTTTGCCTTTCTTTAAATTAGTCCTGTTTAAAAGCATCCAAATTGTTTTTATAGGCAAATGAGTCTTCCAAAACAAGAACTTATTGTTCAAAGTAAAATAATTGAAGTCACAGAGGCAGAATTGGAATAACATCTGTACCAGGGTGCTTTAATGAGGAAACTCTGTTCTACAGCATAAAGAATAATTTTGGGAAAAGGAAAATGTAGTTGCCATAATTGGGATATGGAGTTACATGATTAATATGCAGTGAAAGTGAAAACAGACCTTCGGTGCTTGTATTGGTTTTAATAGCATGATCAGGTTTCATTGTTGACCCGAACATGATACTTGCACAGATGCCAAATCCCCACCTCATTTGGAGTTTATGGATATTGTTGAAGATTCTGATGGGGAAATACTGCCCATACTCAAACAATCATTTTCTGACCCAATTCCCCATGACATATTTACAGTAAAAGAGAGAAGAAAGAAAGAACTTATAGACTATCTACATACAATTTCACTAACATCTTAAGAGAGCTTTCTTTGTGCTTATGTCAAAGTATTAGTGTGTATACTAGCATGAATGTCAAACTGAGTGAAAAATATTATTACTAAATTTCCTTTCCTTTTCTGTTACAAGACTGATGATTAATACCAGATCTTGGGGGAATTACTGGGCAGTTGTTACTACCCCATGTTACATTACCGCATCTTTTGACCAGGTTGAAGTATTTACTCCTAGGGAAGCCAGCTCAATGGCTTCAGCAGAGTTCAGCACATTTACAAGTACACCAGTTTTCTTTAATATAACTTTCTGGGGCCATGTTGCATTGGGGGTAGAACATTTAAAAAACAGTTTATTTAATATCCATGAAATTGACTTCAAATTCCCAAGAGGCTTGTACAGAATACTTGTACTTGTGTTTCAAAGTACATGGAAGATTCATTCAGCTAACTCAATTTTCATGTTTGGTTTCGCAGTTGGGGAATGGGAGGTATGGTGGTGCTTGGTGATTATTTCCACAGGCAGAAGTATAATTTAGATGGTATCTAATAGTCCATTCCTAAGCAGATACTTTTTAATGCTTATACTCTGTGACTTAATTCAAATAGGAGAGTGGTGTCTATTTTGGATAGGAAGAAAGGGCAACACTGGAATACGAGAGACTAGAATATATGTTTTCTTGAAACATAAGATTATTAAATAGAAGAAGTGATGGATTGTAATTCAGTTTCATAGATAAAGTACTTTAAAGAGTATAATCATGTAATTTATCAATCAAAGTGGGTTTTTTTGGATCTAAAAGGGAAACATAATTATGCTGGGAAAACAGGCATCAAATGGGACCACGGGACTGGCCTCAATAAACTACTAAAATTTGTGCAGATAATACCAACATTAATAAATATTAAAGTAACTGCTAAAAGGTGGTAAAATCATGGGTTGAGTAATTTCAGAAATTCATTGATGAGACAGCAACAACACTGTAAGAGTGAGACAGACATCTCCAGGCTGCCTCTGAATCTCTAGAGGGCAGGCCTGCATTTTGGGCTTGTTGTTTTCTCCTTTTGCTGTTGCTATTTTTGTTTGCAGGGGAGTGTCCTTTATGCTTGCTTAAAATTTTGTTTTAGTATATGTCTATATGTGTGCTACAAGAAAAAGTCTAAACAGTGAGATTTATTTCTTTGGAAACAGTTCCTGAAGTGATGCTCTGACTTCATTTATGAATACCACAGTATCTTGTTCCCAAGGATGATGTAAATTTTACAGCAAGGACTGATGATGTAAATTTTAATACTATAAACCTTGAAGATAGTTCTGGTCATTTATTAGTAAGGTAGAATTTGGAGTTAGTGTTGTCAACACTCCACCGCTTTAAAAAACATATTTAACACAGCAGTCGAAGCCATCTTTTCCAAAAGGAAACAATCTACTCATGTCACTCATTAGCTTATAACCTTCAATGGTTTCCCACTTTTTTTGAACGAACATCCCAATTCCACAAGACTCTGTATTTCTTGGGGAGCACCAGTACAGTAATAGCATAAATAGTGGCCTGGGAATGACAAGCTGCTCTGCAGGAGAAAACTCAAGCTTTCTACTCCAGCAAAGATTTAGAGCTTATGAAATCTCATACAGGGTCGCTATGAGTTGGAACTGACTGGACTGTATTTAACAATATCTCTATGTATTAGCCTCCACTTTCTGGTTCCTGCCTCAACTCCTATGTGGCTTCCCTCACTTCCTGCTCCAGGCAACCAAACTTCATTTAGACTAGTTAGTCTCAACCAGCCTGGTATTCTCAACAAACCCAGGCTATGCTTGGCAATGCCTAAAGACATTTTTAAAATTTTTTTATCACAACTGAGGGAAGGGGCAGAGTGTGCAACTGTGATGTAGTGGGTGGAAGCCAAGGACACTGGTAAACACAGGACACACACCCTCCCACCCCCATCGCCAAAGAATCAATTGGACCAGAATGTGAATAGCATTGAAATAGATTTGGACCTACCCTTACACCATGCTCTGCCTGATCCTAGGCCCTGGTTCCCTCTGCCTTAAGCATTCAGACGACTCTTTTCACCCTTTCTGTTAACTTCTATCCACTCTTTGGATCATCACCCTCTCAGAGGCGGGCCCTTTCTTCAAGAATTACACCTGTTCAAACACTTGGGAGCAGTTAAGACTACAGTGTTGTTAAGTGCCATGGAGTCGATTCCAACCCAGAGTGACCATATATAGGGTTTCCGAGGAGCAGCTGGTGAGCTTGAACCGCCGACCTTGCAGTTCAAACAGCTTTGCAGTCTGGTGCATTAACCCACAGCGCCACACCAGGATTCCTAAAACTACAATTTCACATGCTTTGGTCATTTGATTAAACCTCTCCCCCACCAACTCCAAAGGGGCAGACCACATGTAGCTTACACTCCCATACTGTTGTTAAGTGCAGTGGAGTCAGTTCTGACTCAGAGACCCAGTATAGGATTTCTGAGGCTGTACATCTTCAGGGACGCAGAAAGCCTCATCTTTCTCCCAGAATGGCAGGTAGTTTTCAACTGTTGACCGTGAGGTTAGCAATCCAACTCATAACCACTATGCTAGCTGGTATAACTACCATGCAACTTTAAATAAATGTTTAATAGGTTTACCTACAAAAGGAGAGCAACAGAGTAACTATCTCATTAAATTGTGAAGACTACATAAATTGATACCTGGGTTAATGGACTGGACGGCAATGTCATTTAAACACCAAGGTCGGCAGTTCAAGCTCACCATTCACTCCTTGGAAACTCTATACAGGGTCTCTATGGGTCGGAACCGACTCCACGGCACGTAACAACAACATAGAGCTGTAGGATAATCACTGGACTGCGAATCACAAGGTCGACAGTTCAAACATACCAGCTGCTCCTCGGAAACCCTCGGAACCGACTCCACTGCACTTAACAACAACATAAGTTACTTAGTTCAGTCCGTGAATTATAGTAGTATCACGGTGACTCAAATTTTGAGTCACAAGAGAAGAGAAGGTCCACGCCTTTCACAGGACCGGTTCCCCCCCAACTAGACTCGTCACCGCTGCGCCTGTACATTCCTGCCTCCACCGCTAAATGCCAGAAGCATTTCCCCTTTTTCCATTGGCCATCACAGAGTTCGCCGCTGCCGCGCATGCCACATCTTAGCTTCCACCAGCGTCCAATCAAGAGAGAGCAGACCTTGCCAATACGCTTGCGCGAAACGCCATACCCCGGAAGTGGTTCTTTGGCCCTGTGACACGTAGCAACGGGGCTACCGTAGGGTCCAAAACTGAATTTTGTGGGTCTTTGGAACTGTAAGTACTGGAGCTACTGCCGTTACCGCTGCCGCGGCTCTTGGTGAGTGTCCTAGTGTCGTGGCGTATTGTTCGGCTTCTCTCCGCACCTGTGCAGAATGGTTTGTAGCCGTCTTTCGGCGCCACGTCCTGGTTCTTTCCTCTCAGACACTTGTTCGCTTTCAGACCACAGGCGCGGCTTTGTAGTGTCTGTGTTCTCCCGCAGTCCCCGGCCTTAATTTGCAAGACAGCAGTGGCGCTGTCAGCTGTATAACTCTGCAGGGTGAGGAATCGTGGCTGTTGGTATTTCAGACCCCCCACCAGTCTCCGGTCCTCATACCAGGTGCTATAGGCAGATCAACTCCTAGTTGCCTCCCGGGCCTCCACTTGGAAGACTAGAGACATTTTCTTAGCTCCCCTTTCCCCAAGGCCCGTCTTTCAAATGCTGCACCCCTAAATTCCATTAGAGCATTTGCTGGTTCCTGGGGCTATTTACTTAAGCCCATTGTTGACTGTGTTGTGTTTTCCCAAAGTGTCAGGATGGAATTCGGTAGGACCCTGGACTTAAATATTATTTGCCATTTTTCTTCTATTGCAGATCAGTTACAATGTCAGGCTTTGATAATCTCAACACGGATTTCTACCAGACAAGTTACAGCATCGATGACCAGTCTCAGCCGTCCTATGATTATGGTGGAAGTGGAGGACCATATAGCAAGTAACTTTTCCATTTTGGATATGGATTTAGTCAGTACTGCAGGGAAAGCATGCACACAACGTTTATTTATTTTATTGTTTTCCTAATACTGAATATGTGAGCATGTTGTTTATCAGCAGTGTGACTTTTCATAATTTTCTGTCTCTGGAGGGATCTGGGATATCAATTTGTGTTTGAAGAGCTTGCCATAGTTACGATTCTGCATCTTCTGCAAAATCTTGCTGTAGGTGTAAAAGTAGCACTTAAAGAACTGTTTTTAGTAATGGTTTTTTTTTTTTTTTTGGTTCTCTATTGTTGAAAATCAAGGCTCAAGTAACATATTACTTAGATTGTCTTTAAGTTTGACTTATGAGTCCACAAAACTCCATATTTCCCATAGGAAGTCACCTTTAATATTTTACATGAGTTCCTTTTTGGTGCTTTACAAGTGTTGTACCTACATCCCTATATCCCTGGAAAAATAAAGAACAAACAAGAACAGCCAAAAAGCAAAAAAAAAAAAAAAAGTTATTTGATGATCAAAATTTTATCATAATCTATTTGAGTTTTAAGAATACCATTTTACGTCAGCTCCCACATTATTTACTATAAATAAGATCGAGCTTCAGAAAGTTCGTGTAAAAATTTCATTGTCTGTGAATTCCAGTTTTCCATGAACTTTTTGAAGCCCCCTCATGTAATAATACCAGTTGCATACTTTATAAAGTACTGAACATAAGTATTTTTTTGAACCTTGAATTAACTAATAATAGCATTGTGGACTATTGAGGAAGAAGTTAGCCAGCCCAGTAGGCTTTTTAACTCTATTTGTTGGTTTGTGAAAGTGGAGTTTCATCTGTAAAGATTATGTCTTGCTGTTAGATACCCTGGAGTCCCTTTCAATTTACAGCATCCCCTTGTGACAGAGTAGAACTTCTTGGTCAGGTGATCTAAGTCTTTACAGGAGCCATTGGACTGTCAGACCTTTCTCCCCTGGAGCTGCTGGGAGGGATTTCAAACCAACAACCTTTCAGTTCGCAGCTAAGCGCTTAACCTTTGTGCCATCAGAAATCCTTAATGATCTTATCTACCACACTGTGTTTTAGTGTAAAATCCTTGGAAATTTGGATTTTCTCTTATTTTGTTTTGTTAGAAAATGAAAATAGATTATGTGGTCCTTAATATCGTGATCTTACCGACGATGGAAGGATGTTGCTGCATTTGATATTGCCCTTTCTTTACAGTATTTCTTTAGTACATAGAATTTTGGGGTCTATATAAACAGTTATCAGAACATCAGTTGCACACCCCAGAGGTTCCTTGAGACTTTTAAGGGGTTCCTGAGGTCAAAACTGTTTTCACAATACTAAGACAGTGTTTACCTAATTGTTGTTAAGTGCTGTCGAGTCAATTCTGACCCATAGGTTTTCCAAGGTTTGAACTGCCGACTTTGCAATTCAAACGGCTTTACAGTCTGGTACATTAACACACAGCGCCAAACCAGGACTTTGTTTACCAATTAGGTGTATAGATATTTGCAGTCTTGTTGCAGAAGTAATAGTGTTACAGCTGATGCCTGAGTATGAATCCAGAGCGTGGCATCCAATTGTCTGAGTAATCATTTTATTCTTTACTACCACTACTTGCCTTTGATGAAGCAATAAGAATTATGGTTGATTAAATCCTGACCCTTTGCGTAAATGTCTTTTTAGTAATATGTGTGATAAAATGTGAACTAGTCATTAAGCACTTCTCCGTACTGAAGTACAATGATCATCTCTGGAGAAAAGAGCAGTTTAATTGTTTGAATTGTGAGCTAAACTGGTCACTCTTTTCTTGGGATACCATTTTTACTTGAAGGAACAGTTGACAAGACAAACTATCTTGGTATGTCTGTGTCTCTCTGTCTCTGTCTCTTGTCTTTTTGAAGGAGTAGAATACAGTCTTTTTATGTAGATGGTAGAAACCTCTATGTGCAACTTTTAGAGCTTTTTCATAAACTAATAGGTGGTTTCTCTTATAAATCCTATCAGAATCAGTAAGATAGCATATTGTACTAAATCAGGAATTGTGCATTCTTGTCCCAGTTCCAACAACTATTAAAAAATTATTGAGAGTTGACCACTGGAGTCAGACAACCTAATTTTACATCTTGGCACCACCATGCGCAAGATTTTTTTAACTTAACTTTCACTTTCCACCGCTATAATGCGGAGGACAATAATAGTTATACCCTAGGGTTGTAATCAGGATAATAAATGAAATAATATGTTTTTGAAATTTTTAATAGTTAGTACATGTTTTTCAATTAACTATAGCATACATTTTGGGAGGATAGGAGTAAGAGGTTAATGTTAGAACTTTGGCTGTTTTATAATTAATTTCAAGTTATAACATGAAAATTATACTTCTGCTTTTTCTTTTCCAGATTCCCTAGAAGTTTCTTGTGTCTAGTCCCAGAGCTAGTCTAAGCATATACCTGTATGCTTAAGAAAATGCTGGTTCTATAGAGTATGCACAATTCTCAATATTGCTTTCTTTACTCCACTGAATATTTCTTATCACTCCATATCAGTACACCCAGATCTACTTCATTCCTTTAATAAGTGTGGTGGTGGTTATGTGCTGTGGAGTTGGTTTCAACTCATAGCGACCTGTACAGGGTTTCCGAGGCTGTAAATCTTCACGGGAGCAGAAAGCCTCATCTTTCTCCTGTGGAACAGCTGGTAGTTTCAAACTGCTGACCCTGTGGTTTTCAGCCCAATTCGTAACCACTACACTACCAAAGCTCCTATTATACACTAATATTATAATACATTTATTTATAGTGTATATAGTATTTAAGGAGTTCTGGTAGCGTAGTGGTTACGAATCGGGCTGCTAATCTCAGGGTCATCAGTTCGAAACTACCAGCTATTCCGCAGGAGAAAGATGAGGCTTTTTGCTCCTGTGAAAATTTACAGCCTGGGAAAACCTTATACAGGGTTGCTATGAGTTGAAACCAACTCCATGGCACATAACACATAACAACAATAACAATATATAGTATTTTAGGGAGTCCTGGTGTGGCACTGTGGGTTAATACTTCAGACTGCAAAGCCGTTTATAACTGCAAGGTTGGCGGTTCAAGCTCACCAGTTGCTTCTTGGAAAACCTATACAGGGTCACTATGGATTGGAACTAACTCAACAGCTCTTCACAACAGCAACAACAGTAGTATTTTAGAGGAGTCCTGGTGTGGCGTTGTGGGTTAATGCGCTGGACTGTAAGGTCAGTCTGAACTGCAAGGTCGGCAGTTCATGCTCACCAGCTGCTCCTCAGAAACCATATACAGAGTTACTATGAGTCAGAACCGACTCAACAGCACTTAACAGTAACATAGTATTTTAGGAGTCCTGGTGTGATGCTGCATGATAAGCACTGGGCTACAAGGTCGCTTTGAACTGCAGGGTCGGCGGCTCAAATTCAATAGCTGCTCATTGGAAACATTATACAGGGTTGCTGTGAGTTGGAACCAACTTGGCAGCACTTAACAACAATGATAGTATTTTATTTTCTTCTATTAAAATAATGCTGCATTGAATTAAATATTATTGTATATCCAGAAAAGAAAGGATATTATTTTGTTTAAACATAAATTCGATTTGTGTGGGAAATCTTGAAAAATGACATTGGAATTCAGCTTAAAATTTACTGTTATTTTGATAAGCTTGTGGGCAGACTGCTTAATTAACTTAAAAATTAGATTGAATTTTAAAATCTCAAATGTTAATGGAAGTCATTAAATTTTTGTATCAAAGGGGAATATTAAAAGATTATTAAACTAAGGTATCTTTGAGACTCCTCGGTTTTCAATTAAGTATCCTGGTTTGGCGCTTTTGGTTAATGTACTGGACTGCAAAGTCTGCTTGAACTGGGAGGCCTGTGGTTCAAGTTCACCAGCTGCTCCTCAGAAACCTATACAGGGTCGCTATGGGTCAGAACCCGACTCTTTGGCACTCAACAACAACAACATCCTTGAATGGAATTGTTTTACTTCTGAACTTCTTATTCTGTAAAGCTTAGGTTAGTCCCAACAATGTAGATAAGTCATATTTTTGCAGAAGATGGTGAAGCAGGAGTTTTAAAAGTATGACTTGTATCCTGTGTTCTCACTTGTCGTTATGATTGAAATAGCCATGGTGGTAGGGCTTTCCCTCTAAAACTGCAGGGTTTCTTATAATATTTGCTCAAATGAGATGATAGGTATACAACTAGTTTGAAAAATCGAAAGCTTTATTTAAATGCAAGTTGTGCAAGGGTCAAAAAGTATTGCTACCCAGTCATAGCAACCTCATTACACGAAAATATTGAAGTGTGAAGCTCCTGTTCCTTGACATAGCTTTCATCGCAGTCTGTATGCTTCTGAAGGCAGTGTCTTCATCTCGCCTACCCTCTCCTGAAGAATTAAGCATTCTTTGATTTATACCATGTTGGAGTGGTAATATGGCATTCTCCAGGAACTCTGTGTATTTTCAATGTTCTTTGTGTTTTGCAAACCAAAAATTCTTATGGGGTAGGATTGGAGCTATAGGATGGATAGAGCAGGATGTCCCAGAGTCATTTTCATATGACAGCCTTTGCTGACTTCAAAGACTGAGCAGGTATAGTAGCATGATGGAAATCAATTCCTCGGAGCACTTTTCTGGCCTCTTTCTCACCAGAGCAGTTTTTAGGATCCTTAGTAGCAAAAAGTTTTTACTTAGCTTTGTACTAATACTGTTTTACATTCAAAAGATTTTCACAAAAATTAAGCTTGATCATTCCACTCCTTGGCTTGATATTGGTGGTGGCTCTTAAAAGAGATATTTCCGCTTGCAAAATATAAAGTGCAACAGAGAATAGAAGTTATGGTGTGGCACTGGAGGATAAGCATCGGACTGCTAGTTACAATAGGAGTCCTGGTGTGGTGCTGTAGGATAAGCATTGGATGGTTCAAACGCACCAGCTGGTCCTTAGAAGCACTATGCCAGGGTCACTATAAGGTAGACCGACTTGACAACACTTACCAACAATAACACAGAGTGAAGTAAAATGATTGTACATTCAATGTTGATCAAAATTACAACGGGAAAATTTTAAAATGTATTATAAAGGCTGTCATCTTATGACTTGTTAGTTTTTATTTTACACTTTATCTTTATGCAGTGTTGACTAATAAGGAAAAATTGACAAGATTGTTAAATACTCATTTGTTGACGCTGATAATGTGTTCTCATTTAGTAATTTATAAAATGCTTAAGTGCTACATAAATGAAAGTGAGCCTCCTTGGGGAGATTCTCTATAAAAACAAAACAGCATTTTATTATAGATAAAAAGCTTGATTTTTACCATTTATAAAAACTGACCAAGCAGTTATATAGGAATTGGGTAACTAACATTCCCTACCTGCCAATATGAAAATGCAGGAATTGAAGGGATTTCTGCTGTGAGAAGGCAGGTACTTCTGATTAATGTGGCTTCTTTTACTTTACAGACAGTATGGTGGCTATGACTACTCGCAGCAAGGCCGATTTGTCCCTCCAGATATGATACCAACACAGCAGCCATACACTGGGCAGATCTTTCAGCCACCTCCAGCCTACACTTCAACTACACCTCAGTCATTCTATGGTAACAACTTCGAGGATGAACCACCTTTATTAGAAGGTAGAATTGGTTGCTATACTTTGTAGTATGTTGATGTTGTTAGGAGTCCTGGTATGGTGCTGTTAATGTGCCAGACTGCAAAGCTGTACCCTGTAGTATCTATAATAGCTGGTTAAGAACAAATACATCCAAATTTGGAGAATTGCCTTTCCTTTAAAAGAAATAATCTTGTAGGAAAGGAGTTTTCTACTGAGTGACCCATTTTGAACAGTGTCAATGAAATCACATAGGACTAGAGGAGATTCAATTTTAATAAACCAAAAATCCAAACCCATTATAAGGAAAGTAGAGCTGCCCCAGGGGGATTTCAAGGAGTAAGTCTTCATGGAAGCGTACTGCCAGTCTTTTCCTGCAGAGCAGCTAATGGCTTTGAACCACTGACCTTTTGCTTAGCAACTGAATGTTTAACCATTGCACTACCAAGGCTACATAGATTTTTAATAGGCCTTTGTAAAATATTTTGTTGTTGTTAAGTGCTATCAAATCAATTCTGATTCACAGCTACTTTGTATAGAGTTTCGGAAGAACAGCTGGTTAAGTTTGAACTCCTAACCTTGCAGTTAGCAGTTCAGTGCTGTCTTACCGCATCACATGAGGACTCGATAAGATATGATAGTGTGTCAGTATAATTACATTGAGGTGAGCATAGAATTTTATTTCAGATTGTTTGTTTACTTCTCTTATTAGAAGAACCAAAAGGAAATACCATGGTATTGATTATTATAGATAACTTGTGACTTTATGGGAAAATATAGTGGTTTTTAAATTCTATTCCAGTGAAGTTGAAAAATTCACCATATAGTAGTTGTAAAAAATCAATGTTTTGGACTTTGAAAGTATAATGAAATGTGTGGCTACTTCAGAAAATGTAGACATATGCATGTAGACATAATATGTATACATTTTTTGCAGGGCCCCAGGTGTCCCTGAATATTTTGCTGTTAGTTTTGTGCTATGGAGTCAGAACTGACAGATAAATTAGTTTTTGTTTCATCATACTCATGCCCTTACCTAACACCAAACCAGAAATTGAAGATTTGTAGGATCAACTCCACCTTGAAAACTAGTGTTGAGGACTCATTGAAATAATACCATCTAGTAGGCACTGGACTGCTAACCACAGGATGGGCAATTCAAACCTACCAGTTGTTCTGAAGGAGAAAGTTAAGCCTTTCTGTTTCCATAAAAATGTATAGCCTCCGAAACCTTGTACAGCATTGCTATGAGTCCGAATCGACTTGGTGTGGGAGTGGGTAGTACTGATTTACCCATTTTTAATGCCATTTCACTTTGTCTCCTGCTGTAATACAGATTGTGAAAAATTAAAGATATATTAAAAATCCTAATGGTTTTCTGTTATTTTTTCTTTTTTTTTTTTAGAGTTAGGTATCAATTTTGACCATATCTGGCAAAAAACACTTACAGTATTGCATCCATTAAAAGTAGCAGATGGCAGCATCATGAATGAGACTGATTTGGCTGGACCAATGGTTTTTTGTCTTGCCTTTGGAGCCACTTTGTTACTGGTAAGACATTAGTTTCAACTCAGTGTACAATTAAATAGTAGTTTATATTTTCTACCAAAAGCCATTTTGAGACTAAGTATACCACAAGTCTTTAATGTGTTTTGAATACTAATATGCTTTTAAGAGTTTCTTGATTTTTCATCTATCTATCACTCTTCTATTCTTAATAAATAGAGCAGATTTAGAAATAATTTCTTATAAGAAGTAGCCCAATTTTTAGGTAAAAAAATAATGTGTACTTTAGTCTCTTGACCAGAATTTCTCACCTTTTTTTAGGCTATTGTTCTATTTTTGTTGGTGTTGGTTTTGTTTTTTAAAAATCTAGACCCCTGGGGTTATGTTTACTTGTAGTGATGATGGTGGTTATTTTCCTATAATTTTAATAAATGAAAACATTAAAGGACAGCAGGTTTTAGCCCTCTCAAGATGTTAAAACATATGTTCGAGTGGTAGAATTTTTCTATAGATTTCTCGGTTATAAAGATAATTGTTAATATGTAATTTTTATTTCATCTTGGATGTCTCTGAATTACAAAAGATAAATAAGTCATGTAGTGGACGGAAGGTAAGTGTTTTAATAAGAATATCTGTATTTGAGCCCAGTGCTTCTATTCTGCCATTTAACAAGTCATGTACTCCTCCATTCCCTTCTGGTAGATAATAATCCTGGGCTGCCTACCCTAACAGGATTGTGTGGAGACTAAAACAAAAAGGGTGTGTGTGAACACTTTGAACAGATAGCAGCTCTGTAAATATGAGGTTTTATGATTTTTACATGAATGAATTCAGCTGGACTTATTCAAACTTAAGAACTTTTAATCGTATATTTAAAAATAAAACAGGAGACTAACAAAAATTCCAAAGATTTTTTCCAGTTGACATAATCTGTAGAAGTGTTTTTGCCATGACTTTTGTGTGACAAAATGTGACAAGGGAATTTTTAAAGGCTTATTTCTTAGTAATAGTATGACCTGAATAAAATATCTTTGTACATGCCTTGACTAAGAGTAAGTTAGTTCTGACCTTTGCTGACCTAAGATTTGTCAGTGATATCTCTTATAAGAGCAGAATTTATTGTGTTATTTTTCTTTTTTTAGTCAAAGGGTTGTATAAATCAAACAACATTTTGGAACAACATTTAAAAAAAAAACAAAAACGCTTGCATTAAGTTCCACTTGCCTTGTCAGTCAGTTTTCTTTTCTCCTCCCCTGCCCCAAATCCTGGGTTCTAGCATAATCCTGGCTTCCTTATTTTAGCTCCTTAAAACACCCTCGCTAAAGTAAATGAAAAAAATGATTTCTGCTGTTAAGAACACCATGGCTGCATGTGCAAATGAGAAGGGGTTGCTTTGTTTTCAAACTATGTTAGCTATCATCCAAACATTTATATGCATGTCTGTTCATCTTGTCTCTAGTTTTTTGTAGTTGTTATTGTTTGCTTAGAATCAGCCAAATTTCTTTTAAGTATCTGCTACTTTACATGGTTTTGCCATGATTTTATTTGTTTGCTCAACTCTATACCATATTCAGGAGTTCTGGTGTGGCACTGTAGGATGAGCACTGCACTGCCAACCACAAGGTTCATGGTTCAAACCCACTAGATGCTTCTCAGAAATTCTGTACAGGGTTGCTATGAGTCAAAACTGACTTGACGGTACTTGACAGCAACAACATGTACCACATTCAAGTGCTAAATGGAAAACTAAACCCCTATATTTTTGGAGGTGATACTTTAAGCTTCTTAATAAGGCTGTAATATAAAGAAGAGATACCTCTGTAGATATCTTGATACTGAACGTTGTTGTTATGTGCCATGGAGTCGGTTCCGACTCATAGCGACCCTTTAATGGCTGTATGTAAATCTTTACGGGAGCAGAAAGCCTCATCTCTCTCCTCCGGAATAGCTGGTAGTTTCGAACTACTGACCTTGAGGGTCGCAGCTTGATTCATAACCACTACGCTACCAGAGCTCCTGATATTGAATAGATGCTCACTAATCACGTTTCATTCTAAGACTGAAATACAGCTAAAAATAAAATACTGTTTTTCCATTTAACTTATATTCCTTTCTTTACCTGTAGGCCGGCAAAATCCAATTTGGCTATGTGTATGGAATCAGTGCAATTGGATGTCTAGGAATGTTTTGTTTATTAAACTTAATGAGTATGACAGGTGTTTCATTTGGTTGTGTAGCAAGTGTCCTTGGATATTGTCTTCTTCCCATGATCCTGCTTTCCAGCTTTGCAGTAGTATTTTCTCTGCAGTAAGTATTGATCTTTATTTTGAGGATTAATTGACCAATTCTGTAAAGTAGAATTCACTTCACTTTCAGTTTGTGATAAATCATAGATTCAGTGACTATATCAGCTAGTACCTTTTGTGGGTGAGGATGTATGCTAGCTTCTTTTAGGCAATGTACAATGGAAGATGAGAACAAATTTAGAAATCTTTCATGTGGTCTCTCTTTTTACCTGTGGGAGAGGTTGCATGTTTTATACCATGGGATTATACTGTTTTGGGGGTATGCTTGCCACTGTCATAGAAATAATGAATTGAACGTTGATGATTGTTTTTAGCTTAAGTATTTCATGCAAAAGGTCAAGACATTAGGTTATTAAAATTACACTTACCACTCAATATTTTTTGGCCACATCTATTTTCTTTAAGCCATGGGGCATAAATTTACCATAAGAATAATAAACTATTTGGCAGCTTTTTAACTGAAAGGAAAATATATTCTTTTTATGGAAGGCGGTTGTGATTGCCTACCATGTTCTCAGATGTACATGTAAGCAGCCTTAAATTTTAAAGTAATTTAGGTTAGATTATAAAGAAAGGTGATTTTTTTTTTTTTTAAATAAAGTTCCTGCTTGTAACTGGTGTGCAGATTCTCTCTCACAGTTCAATCTCCTCCTTGTGGCTGATTGCAGACATTGCAGACAGCTGGGTTTTGCTACATTAACCCACCACCACCCCTCCCCACAAAGAAAATCCATTGCTGTCCGGTGGGTTCTTACTCATCACCACCCTATAGGTTTAGGAGAAGAGCATACTTCAGTTGTCTGATACTAGAAATTTAGCACGTTGATGGCATTTCAGGATTATTACATTGGATGGAAATGTTTCAGATTTTCAGTGTTTATACTACTTTACTCTCATTTGTTATAATTTGGTATTTTTATCGTTGAATATACAGAGGATGCTATTTTCTACTTAAACAGTAATTCTGTACTGGGAGCAGTTTTACCCATCAGGTGACATTTTTAGTGTCTGGACACAATTTTGATATCACAATTGGGATACTAGGAACTATTGACATCTAGCTGCTTAGCATCCTAATCATGCACAGAGCAGCCCACAACAAAGAATTATCCAGATCGAATGTCAGTAGTGTCAAGGTTGAAAAACCCAGTACTAAAGGTAATGAAATGAAATAACATGTAAATAAGCTTCTTAACACATAATCTAATTCTGCATCATTGAATTTACTGTGAGGTACATTTTAGCAGTTGAAAAATATCTTGATTATTCCTGCAGATGTCTACGTGTAGATTTTTAAATGCTTTTCTTTACAATAGGTTTATAGTGTTCTTCCATAACTAATCTCATATATTGCCTTTTTTTTGTACCCCCTGCTTTCTTTGTGGTTACAGAGGAATGGTTGGAATCATTCTCACTGCTGGAATTATTGGATGGTGTAGTTTTTCTGCTTCCAAAATTTTTATTTCTGCATTAGCCATGGAAAGACAACAACTTCTAGTAGCATATCCTTGTGCATTGTTATATGGAGTCTTTGCCCTAATTTCCATCTTTTGAACTGAATTTATCTCATGGACATCAGTGGGCAGAAACTCACAAAAAGGACCTTGAACTCTTAAATCGGACCAGCAAATTGCTACAGCACCATCCTCATGCAGATTTAACAATTTAACAATTGGAGCAATGGAAGTAAACATGTATTGTCTGTTCGTTTTTATAGAACTTTTCAGTACTTTACTGGGTTCACTTGCAGTGTGACTAGCTTTAATTGTTCATGGTTATACAAATAAAATGTACTGTTTCTTTCTTGTTCCTGTTGCCTTTAGAAAAACAGCTTTTTTTCTTCTAAATGAGAATATGATGATTTTGATAGATTTTTATCACCTGTGGGAAGCTAACCACAGCGCTGGTAATCTTTCTAGAAACAACCCAGCCATAGTAAAGAAAACACAAGACTAAAACTGCAGAAGTTTTTCTAAGGAATTACCTGTGTACACAAACCAGGTATACTTGAAGCAAAAAAAAGATCCCAGTGTGGAGTTGACTGAGTTTCCACTTCAGAAATTTGACATTCTTTTCAATTATCTCATGAAGTTTCAGCTGAAATTCTGAGATTTAAGAGGTTCACAGTCTACCTAATTGTAGATGTGAAATGTGAATGCCTGTTTAGATATTAGCAGTAACTAAATCGTTAGTGACAGGGACTGCCTTATAATTAGGTTTCCACGTTTCCCAGGAAAAGAGAATCACTAAACTTTTATGAGAAGAATATTTAAAATGTTTTAATTGTCAGTTTGCAGTTATCAGTGTAAAGTGCATTTGATGCTTATTAATTAAAAATTTCCCAATTAATTTTCACTGTGTTACTGAGTTTGCTTTTGTTAAGCCACAGTATTCTTGTCTTTAAGTTGGGTCTGCTTTTTACTTGTATTCCTAATTGAACCTAAGTTTTTAAGAGTAGAAGTTATCTGCTATGGAAACAGAAAAAAAGTGATTTTCTTTGAATTAAAATATTATGTTCTTGTACTAAATTTATTTGGTTTACATTGTCATGTTCTCTTGCCAGAGAAAGCATAAGAAAATTTAAGAGGAGACATATATCCATCTGAATAAAAAAAATGTCAACTGATACATTAATGGCTCTTTTTAAAGCCTGGTTTCAAGCACAAAGGGAAGATGAGAGACAGAAAACATATTTTGTACAACAGGATCATAATTTCTTATCTCTGCCTTCACATAAATATGTTTTTCTTCATTAATAATCAATCTTCTGAAGAAACACACTAAGTTTTGGCTAGGTTTTCAAGCTTACCAACTTGCTTTACAATAATACTTTATTGCTATGCTTGAATAGTGTAGGCATACCTTGTTTTATGTGTCAAGCAAGTCTCTTGGTGTTATTTTTCCAACAGCAGCGTGCTCATCACTTCGTGTCTGTTTCACATTTTCCTAATTCTCGCAATATTTCAAACTTTATGCTATTTCACACTTACAAACTATAGTATAATATAAAAACAAATTTTATAGGTACTGAGAAACCAAAAGTTTCATATGATTTGCTTTACTGCAATTATTTGCTTTACTTTGTGGTAGTCCAGAACCAAACGGCAATAAGTTTGAATTATGCCTGTTGGTTTTCAATTAATTTTACAAATATCACCACAGTTCTTCTTAAGGCAATTGTAATGAGCACCTTTTGATAATATCCAGTTCTACCTAATGAACAGCATCAATGATTTTTTGGAACTTAAATTTTTACACTGTTGTTTATATTTGAAACTATGAATCTTCAGCCTAATACCTCAAGTAGATCAACTTTTATTTGTTGTTCCCTTTGTTCCCAACAAAATAACTTTTAATTTGAATCATTATAGGGTTTGGTGGTAGTGGTTGTCTTTGTGACACTATTTCTTATTTAACAGCTGCTCTGCCAAAATAGCTAGATGGCATTTTTGCATTTGAAGGAAGTTTGGTTCTAAGTGTTTGCTTAGTAACATGAAAAATTCTATGTAGTCTAAACTACCCATATTAAAATCTCTCACACCCCCACAAACCCAAACCAACTGTTGTCAGTCAATGATTTTCACTCATAATGACCCTATGGGCAGAGTAGAACTGCTCCCTAATATTCCCTAGGCTGTAAATCTTCACAGGAACAGAAAACCTCATCTTTCTTCCACTGAGTTGCTGGTGACATTGTGATTAACAACCTAATACTTAAATAAGAGTGCTGCCAGGCCTCTGAAGTCTCTGACATCACCAATAAAATATAATATTATATGTGCTAAATGTACACATACATTCATGGTAAAATGCTATATGATAAACATAACATGCTTACTGCAAGGTTGGTGGCTCCAACCCACCAGTGGCTCCTTGAAGACCATATGCAGGGTTACTATGACAACATATAACAATAAAAACATGCATATGTTGATGTTCAGGATTAGGCTGTTATCTGAAAGGGTGGTGATATGTGAAGTTATTTCTGACTCATAGCAACCCTGTATAGGGTTTCCCTGGCTGTGAATCTTTGTGAGAGCAGAAAGCCTCATCTTTTTCCTGCAGAGTGGCTGGTAGACTGAAACTGCTCACCTTGTGGTTCACAGTCCCGTTTATCCTACAGAACCACTGCACTCTGAGTTGTAGTGTTAAGTGCCATAGAGTCAGTTCCAACTCATAATGACCCAGTTTCTGAGGAGCTACTGATGAGTTTGAACCACTAACCTTGTGATTCAAACTGATATTGCAGTTTTGTGCTTATACTACAATGCCACACACTGTGCCTTAAATAGCTATTTAATGACTTTTTTTTCCCTAGTACAGGAATATTTTTTTTTTTCCTTCCATTAAATACTAGGAGTATTTGGCTTGCTTTTAGGGCACATTTTATACCAAAAACACATTCACTGCCACCAAGCCAGGAACTCTGCTAACGTAGTGTTTATGAGTTGGGTTGTTAATCTCAAGGTCAGCAGTTCAAAACAGCTGTTCCTTGGAAGAAAGATGAGACTTTCTGCTCTTGTAAAGATTTATAGCCTCAGAAACCTATGCAGGGTCACGTCGGAATGGACTCCACGGCACCTAACCAGCATCAAGCTGACTTTGGCTCCTAGTGAGTCTAGGACGAAGTGAAACTGCTCTGTAGGGCTTTTGAGACTATACATCTCAATGGAAGCAGCTTTGTCTTCTGTGAAGCTGCTGGTGGGTTTGAATCACCACCCTTTCAGTTAGTAGCCTAAACCTTAACACACAGTGGAAACATACAGATGCCTTTAAAAACTAGAGGCACTCAATGTGGCCAAATGCTTACCAGCAATTATCACTCCCTTACCGACACTGGGTTACGAATCGGGCTGCTAACCTCAAGGTTCGCAGTTCGAAACTACCAGCTGTTCCACGGGAGAAAGATGAGGCTTTCTGCTCCCGTAAAGATTTGCAGCCTCGGAAACGTACAGGGTCACTATGAGTCGGAACCTACTCGACGGCACATAACAACAACAACATACCGACACTGGGAGCCACAGACAGACACATACCACATCTCACTGCAGGTGTGACCTGTGATTGAAATGGCAGCTTCACTCACACTAGTGTACTATCAAGGATATTGATTTTCATAGGATGTGTATCTATTTTGTATGACTTTTCTATGATACTATGTTCACCAATGATTGTTTTCAAGAATTAATGTAACTTCAAGTGCCTTTGAGTCAGTTCTGACTCATAGCGATCCTGTATAGGATTTCCTAGGAGCAGCTGGTGATTTTGAACTGCCAACCTTGTGTTTCAAAGTGACCTTATGACCCAGTGCTTCATCCCACAGCGCCACACTGTTGTTAAGTGCTGTGGAGTCGGTTCCAACTCTTAGTGACCCTGCATAGGATTCTCAAGGAGTGGTTGGTGAGTTTGAACCGCCAACCTTGCAGTTCAAAGTGACCTTGCAGTCCAGGGTATTTTCCTGTGGTCTACACCAGTACTATGCTACACTAGGCTTGTGGAAAGTGGCATTTCTCCAGATAGGGAGATAATACTGTTATATACTTTTTAATATATATCTGAAAATACTGACTCTTCTTTAATGTTAAGTGCTGTCGAGTCAATTCCAACCTATAGCAACCCTGTATAGGGTTTCTCAGGAGCAGCTGGTGAGCTGGTGAGCAAACAGTTTTGTAGACTGGTGCATTAATCCACAGCACCACATGAGGACTCCTAATAGTGATCATATAATCCTAATTTTAAAATGTACTAATAGGAATTTGGGTAAAATTTTTAAGTACCATAAGCAAGTTAAACTAGGTCTGAATTATTATGAGATGTTCTCTAGGTCTACATTCAAATGGGACTTTGATTTCCCATAGCTCTTCCTGATCAAGTCAAGAGTATCCTATAGATACTAGTTTCTAGTTCCTTTTTGGCCCAAAGTTCTAAAATCTGCCATTCATATATATGTTGTTGCTGCTGTTAAATGCTATGGAGTTGGATCTGACTCATAGAAATCCTATATAGGGTTTTTGAGGAATGGTTGGTGGGTTTGAACCACCAACCTTGTGGCTAGCAGTCCAGTGCTTATCCTACAGCATCACACCAGGAAAGTTGTACTAAGGAATTCTATCCCCAACTCCCCACAAATTACAATAATGCACCTGATCATGCTTGAAGAATAGCAAGGGTGGGGTTCTAAGAGAATTGTATTGGGAAATCTTTCCTTTTCTACCCTATACCCCTGATCTTGACCGTTCAGACTTTTTTTGTTGTTGTTGCCCAAACTCAACATTTAAAAGAAGCATGATCTCAGTCCCTACAGGATACCAAAATTGCTGTTTTTTTTTTTTTTTTTTAAGTTTTTATTGTGAAATGAGTGACAGTTTACATGGGAGAACATTGGCTTTACATTATTGTTTCATTGCAATGATTACAATCTCCTCC